GAATCGAGCATCCGGACGGTGTGAAAGCCCCGTGTGAGTGGATTCAGATTGATCAGTCTCGTGAAGCTAACATCAGACGAAAAAAACAAGGCTGAAGGCAGAGATGCTGAAGAACAATCGTTGCCATCTTCGATGGTCTGTCAAATCAACATTGTCGCACCTCGTATCCGAGACGACGTCTTACAAGACACATTCATGGAATCTGTTGCCCCAAGTGACGTTGGAGAGAGCTGGATCCTCCACGACATGGGCAATGGCATTATCGACAATGACCAACAGCCACAGACTGTGCCATTGAGAAGCAGCACCATGCCATCTTCGCATCGAGCCATTGCTCGCTGGTAATTGCCCAATGGCAGCCAGCTCGATTGATTCTAGTAAGAGGAACACCAGGCCCGCTTTTGTTTGATTCGAAGGGCTAACGATGGGGTAGGGGTCATTTGAATCAGATCTCGGCAGCACAGCCGTTTGATGTTGCAACTATGTAGGTAGGAGATGCAGGCATTTTCTGTTCCTGCTTCACGCCGTGACAAGTGTCATTGCCTGATGGATCATGAAGGGCTGCTCTCACACATTCCTTTGAAGAACACGGGAAGGGAATTGGCTAGGATAGGTTCACTGGTTGAAGCGAGGGAAAAAGTTCGGCGTTGGTTCAAAAGAGAAGGAGATCCGGATTAGAGCAAAAAAAAGAGAGATAAAAAAAATTTGCGCTACCCTGTTGCAGCAGTCCTTGGCTGTTTGCGCGGGATGGCCTGATGCCCACGGATGGACTAACTGGCATCTGAAAAGGGCTGCAAACAAGGGATTGGAAACTGGCAAGGGAGTTGGGGACTTTTTGTTCTCGGAGGGATTTGTGTGCCGCTGGGAAACGCCGGGAATCTCTCGAGCTTGGGGCGGAAAAGGGTATTTTGTCTTTTTTTTTTTTTCCCCTTGGGGGCGGAACGGTGAGGCTCTGCCTTGGTTCTCGTCCATGGTTACCTCGGACTATCGTTACAGGGCTTAGGCCAGTCTTGACTAGAATAGCATGGATAGCATATCGTACGGCGATATTTTCTTCTCAAGGGCCCGAGAGCCAAGAGTGGCCCGTGGTCGAAGGAGTGGCTCGGTGAAGCGTTGGTGAGGTTGTAGTGCTCGTAACGACGTAGCCGCAAGCCGGCGATGCACGACTCCAACGGCATCGGCCCTTCATGCTGGCCGCCACGCCTCAGTTTCGGCCGCGCGGTTCTAACTCCCAAGAGCGTGCAAGAGGTGAGCGATCCCTATGCCGTTAGTTGCTTCCAAGGCCGCGTTCTGGCGAGTCGGATCCGTTGCCGTTGGCTGCTTACGAGCTTGAGCGTCAAGTTTGTTGTTTGAGCTGAGAGAAGTGTAAGAATGTAAGAAGACGCCTTCACCCTTCTGGCATGGTGGGGCGATGGCCTTGGGCTTCTGGGTGCTTGTTGCGTCTTGGCCGAAGATGCAAGTCATGCCTGCCGTTCCCAGGGAGTCCACTTCCCTCTCGGCCGAGGTTGTACGGATACTCCGTGCCTGGCAGAATGCTCCGTACAAGCTACTCCGTACAGAGTATTCCGTGCAGAGGAAACCCCGTACCGCCCTGCCGATAATCTCACCCGAGGGCCTAGCCTTCGGTGCCTCTGGGACGTGCTGGTACTTTTGGCGCTGGTCCTCGATACTCTCGCGCAAGACATGTCTGCGGTACCCAGGTACGAAGCGATGACGCTAGACTGCAACTCGACGTCGCATCAATTGTCACTTCTCCCTGGATGCCCTCCGGCTTCCAATCCCACCCGGGGCGAGCGTCTCTCAATTGCCTGGTGAGGTATTGTGATGTGACGGACCTTGAATTGACGCCAGCAGTGCTGCCAATGTACGGTCTGCTAGCTCTCGGCCTTACCAGGTTTATCCACGGAGCACTATACGGAGTGCGGACTGCACTTTATATCTGCCTGTACTAGCCACTAGGCAGCTGCATTTCACCGTGCTGGACGGGACCTTAATCCTTTAGCACTGCTACCTTGGTAGTACGAGTACTAGAGCAATGGTACAAGTCGGTCCCGTTAATTGCCTTGGCAGGAAGTCAAAGCATCCATAGCTATCTCCAATTCCGTCCGCCGCGAGCCTTTGCCCGGCTTACCTTGCCTTGGCCATAGCCCACGATAGGCAGGCTATGTAATGATCCCACCGCGCACACTCTCAAAAAAACAAGGAATTGATCCAAAAACGCTCTCGGTGACCAGCCCAGTTCTCCGGGTGAACCACTCAGAGCAGCAGCTCGCCGACGTTAATTGCCCGCCCAGGGAACTCCTCCGAGCCAGGCCCTACCTAGATGCTGTTTCATACGTCTTGCGACATCAACCAGGGCTGCACTCCACCTCCCTGCGTCGCCCTACGGCCTGATTGAGAAGCGACAAAGGTTTTTTTTCTCTCTCACGCTCTTCTTCCTCGCTCCCTGTGGGGCTGATCAACACGGCCAAAGCCGTTGGAGCTAGCGCTGCCTTGAGAATCCCCTCAATCGAAGCTCGATAGATTGTTCCTCAACTTCCTGTTTAGAGGGCTCTCGGCTGATTGATATCAAACAAAGACTCCCCGGCCCGGCATGTTTTCCCAAAGCCATACTTGTACAAGTACTCTCTGCCTCCACTGGCAGGGCAGAGGTCAACGGTCCGCGGTGGCCCCCTCAATCGCTCAATGCGGTAGGCTTCAGGAATCTTTCTCAGGTTGCGCTGCATCTGAACCCTGTACATGACATCGTTAAGTTTACCGCGCCGTGTCTGCCAGGGACTGGCCTTGTTGGCGTCGTCATATGGAAAAAATGACACCGACTTTAGCCGTGATGCCACCCACTCGTTTCGGGAAATTGATGTGTACACGACCAGGGCTACCTATCTATCAAAAAAAAAAAAAAAAAAAAAAAAAAAAAAAAAAACCCAACGACATGAGAGGTTACAGATGCCTCATCTTGATCGCTAACCATTCCCGCTTACTGATCGTAATAGGAGCTTAGACCCGATTTCTTGGCTTGGAACTTTGGCGATAGCGATTACGAATGCTCATTGACGTCAAATTGGCGTACATGGTTTGTCCTTGCACCTTTTCACAACGGCACGCAAGAGGAAGTTGCAAGCAGCGGTGAGTTTATAACATATCGGCGAAGAGCTGCGAACATCCTTAGATGACCTAGCCTGACCTGCAGAGCATTGTTAGCGAGGAGTCTCATAGCCATCGGAACAGGGGTGACTTATCCCCTCACCAGCGGGGGGCTGTCCTCCGGCCATTTCTGGGAGAAGGACAACCAGGACTACCTTCCAAATCTATGGTGTGTCCTTATAATCCAATATTCGTACAAAGTACGTCGTGTCAATGAACAAGTCAAAAATGGTGGCAGCCCGTGAAGTGGACTCAAAGGAGCGAGTTGAGCAGGGAACCAGACAAGTGCTAAACTTTGACACCAACTCGAGATGGGTCCTGGTTCGAACCGTCTCAACTCGATATCGAGTCGTATTCCTGGTATCCGAAATGGACCGATGCCCGGTGCCAATCCTCTCATGGATTTGCTGCCTTCTTCGAGTTCACCTAGTCCAAAGTCCGAGTAGCGTATTGTAGCCTGGATGTTCCGGATGCAGTCAGGGGAGCCTCCTTCTGTTTGTCTCGCACTGCCAACGAAGACTTGTTTTTGTTTCCTCTCCAGAACTCTCATGGTTAGGAGGGCGTCAACACGCGCACAAAACACATCTGTAAAAACCGCGTTATCATCTCGGCAATTCCTTGACGAAATCTACCGAGGAAGTTGCTGGGGAGTCCTTGCAAGATCGAGGGACAGAGCCAACGACCGAAGGTTAATGCGCTTGGTCAGACTAGATGCCGCAGCATCACACACCGAGAGCGGGTGCTATGGTGTGGTCCAGGGGCAACCGGTAAACAGACAGAGATCATGACTTTGGTGGCCGTGTTGATGTATATCCCGAAAGCGGGTGGGCATATGAGGAGCATCCGAGAGCATTGCAGAATGGCATTGGGTTGGTCAAAAACCGTTGCATTTCTGTGTGATTCCAGATGGCCCTCGCGACACTGCTACGAAGCAGGCTTCCGGCAAGGTGCCATAAGGACAGACTGTATATTCTGAAATGCGGTCTTTGACTGCTTGAAGCACTTTCTGTGCTCAAAAGCTCCCATGCCATAGACCTTGCACCAGGGCAACGAAGCCACCGCCGCAGATCCCAACAGACAAGGTCAATCTCTTTGCCTATAATGGCAGCTGCATCACAAGGACAGCCTATTCTCGACCATAGTGCTAATTCCAGAGGAGAGGGCTGACGGGCGTCATCGGACCAGAGACTGCATACTGCATAACCCATGGCATCCTTCCTATTGCGCACTGTTGAGTGACTGGATGTCCCCTCTCCTAGTCCATCGACAAAAAAAGCGATTTAAAAAGGAGATTGGACGACTGAGCGCAAACTGAACCAGATTATTCTTAGGGTTAAGTTCCGAAATACCATCGAGAAACTGTGGCCATCGAGAAACTGTGGGGGAGGCGACGTGCGGATGGAGTGTTGCTTTTGAGGGCAACGAAGGCGGCTCTGCCTTGAGCTACATGAGGAGATCCAGGCGAAAAGACGTACGAAGAAGGCATGATATTGGATAGCGGCGAAATCTCTGGCAACAAATCGAGGAATTGGCGTATCTGAAGTGCTCTGACGGTGGTTGATGAGTAGGTAAGGGAGTAAACATGAGGAAACGCGTGAGGGAGGCATGTGATGGAGAGCTCGACGCACGGACCAAGCAAGCTCAAGAACGCGTAAGCACGTGACTACGAATTTGTTAAATTTACAGTGCATCTGTACAGTGCGCGCCATTTTCACTCAAAGTCCAGCTATTACTTCCTATCTCGTGCCACAAGGCAGCTTATTCTCATTTGTAAAAGAATTTCGCCTCGAGAACCAGTCTGGCACTTATAAATCTCAAAGACGTTGGTTCTTGCATCTACATGGTGCCTGGATACTATGGCAGACTTGGCGGATACTCAGCAATCTCAGCCGAAGATTACACAAGACATCGTGGATGCTGCAAAAACAGCATTTGATCCATCAGCCGCTGCTGAAAGCCGACAAGACGGCTTGCGTGAATACAATGAACTAGTCGAGAGGTAGGTGAGGCTGCTTAGAGGGGGACCGACTTTCAAGACAAACCTGACATGCGGTCAGAACGCAAACATGGATCTTGATACATGCTCTCAACGCTCTGATCAAGCCCAATGTGCTTCCGCCATGGCTAAGGGAGCCGCTGATGAGGAGTCTGACGCATCTGCCACTGCGGTCCGACGGCGTTCGAGCTACAATGGAGTTCGTGTTTGCAGTCCATCCGAGCAATACCGGGAAACCGGCAGATGACAGCGGTAGCCGCGGAAAACAGGGAGCTGCCATTACGCACGAGGCGGTAGCAATTGCAACAAAACTGCTTTCCTCTGTTCCGATTTCGATGAATGCTCAGGAATGGTTCGATGGCATAGCGGGCCAATTCATGGCTTTATTTGATGGCGAAGCTGGGCCTGATGTTGCAAAAACCGCTGCGCAGATTGTCGGGTTCGGTATCTTGGGTAAAAAGCAGTTCGGAGCCCCAGGTAAGAACATGACTTTCAACTATATAGCGATGCGCCATATTCCTTTACGCCTTTACTTATGAGAGGAAACAGGGGCACCTGGTTGGAACGCTTTCGTACAGCCTTTGGTGGAAACCATTAACCCATCGCTGAAATCCTCAAGGGGAGATTCTTTCGGCTCGAACGACGACGATGAGGTTGTGGAGCTGGGCCGAGAAAGAGTCCTTGTTGCTTCTGCTGACCTCGAGAGGTCGCTTAAACGGCTGCAGCTACTAATCATGTCAAATCCGTCACCCGGCCTTTGTAAACGAGTCCTCAAGCCAGTCCAACTGCAACTTTGGGCTCTCGCTTCCTGGATAAGCCCCTCTCAGGACATAGAAAAGCGCTTCTGCAGGCCTGCGCGGATTCTTGTGCAGACCCACTTCAGATTATTCGGTGATGTGGACAACCTCATCCCGTTTATCCGTAATATTCAATGCAAAGGATCCCTGTACGACGCAGAGGGTCTGCAATGGCGATACCACCATGGGTCCGAAGGAGGGATAGAGAGCATTCACCGTCCGTTTGCCGAACAGAAGCAAAACGCGGAACTGGACTGGGGAGAGATTGAGGGCAAATCAACCACCTTGGTTGAATCCCTGAGTTCCGTATGTACAACGGAAGAAGTTTCCTCGGTCTTCTTATACCTCCTGCGACGATGGATACGGTCAGCCAGCAAACAAAGCAGTTCGGCCATCAAGCTAGTCACTCATGAAGAAGAAGCAGACTCTGCCGTCCAAGATCTTGTCGATGTCACTCTGTTGCAGAAATTCATGGACAAGGTTCCGGAAAAACTGATTAGCCATTTCGATCAGCTGCTGGAGCTTATATCGCATGTATTGCGAGCCGACAGCCAGGCACCCCTTGGGGACGATATCATTGGAGTTGTACTCAGTTTACTAAACTTGGTAATCACAGCGCCATCCTTTCAGAAGTCGGACATTAACCCGACTGAGCTGAAAGTTGTCGAAGATGCACTGGCGAGGATTGGGAATGCAGATCGAGGTGAAGCATCGACAACTGCAGGCAATCTGACGATGCTGCTCAAGTACCGGGATGATGTGGAAAGGCCAGATGACAAATCGGCGGCCCCTACTGCCCGTCAGATTGAAGATCGTAAGACTTACGATCTAGCAATGAATTACATTACTGGAGGCGATAACCCACCACCGGTAGTGTCTGAAGGCCTCAACCTATTATCGAATCTGATCATAGCAGAGAGCCCAATATTGGACATATCGGCCGTCACAGTACTGATGGCAAATCTTTTGAAGGAAAACGAGGACTATATCAACTTGCGAGTGATTAAGATCTTCACGCTACTGGCGAATAAGCATCCCAATGCGACAATGCAGGAGCTTCTCGACCATTATCTGGATGCACAGGAAAGATCATCTACAGACACACGCCTCAGGTTTGGCGAGGCAATACTTCAGGTGATTGAGAGATTAGGGGAGACCTTTACGGGAGAGGCCGCCCAGAACGCAGGCGAGAGCATTCTGTCGATTGCAGGTAGAAGGGGATACAGACCCAAGACGATGGCCAAGCAGGCGCGAGAGGAAAGATTGAAAGAGCTGAAGAGGAAAAAGGCAGAAGCCAGTGGAGATGCTGACCGGGACATTGAAATGGCGGATGAGGAAGAAACACCGGAGCAATTGGCCAATAATGAGATACTGGCGCAAATTGTTCAAGGCTGGGAAAGCAAAAGGGGGAGCGAGGATATTCGAATGCGGACTTCGGCTCTTTCCATCTTTGGAAATGCCATTGAGACGAACATTATTGGCATTGGGCCGACTGTAGTCTCGGCAGGAGTCGACCTCAGCATCAATGTCCTCGCCATGGAGCCAGAGCTGGAGAAGGGCATACTTCGACGAGCAGCCATCCTCGTCATCCTCAGTTTTGTGAAGGCCTTGGACAAGGCCAAGGAATCTGGACAGAAACTAGGATTCGGATTGACAAACCAGAGCCGGGAGGATATACAAAGGACTCTCAGCTACATTGCGGCAACAGACAATGACGGGCTGGTTCAACAGCACGCACGCGATGTCGTGGAGAGCCTTGAGAATTGGGGTATGGCAAGCCTGTTGCCGAGTCAGGCAGAGGCGAGCGCCGTCCCCGGTTTGACGAGATTAGCGGGATTGCATGTCAATCCTGAAGGCACCCTGGTGGACGCCTCTGGACGGCCACGGCCAAGGATAGAGGAAGTGGAATGATGGAGGATTGAAGGATGCCGTAAGATAAAATCACCAAAAGTAGTCACACGGAGTACGCCGTACGGATGGAAGAGCCGAGATGCCCAAAAGCCGCTTTACACACAGCGCTTGCCTGTGAAAATGATGACATTGTGCTAAGACGCAATCTCAGCGTGCCGGCCTGCCAAGCCGGCCAGCCGAAGATGGCACGGCTCATCGTGTAGTTGGCTTTCAGGCGTTCGGTGCTAGAGTCACCGTCACGCCGTGATTCGTACTCTTGTGGTCGTGGCTGACTCGGAGGCTCCCCACCCGCGGTCCGTGACATGTCAACTAAGGAAGAAAAAAAAAAGAAGTCTTTTTTTCCCTTATCGATGGCAAGGGACGGCAGAACGGCGAAAAGAAGGGAAGAAAGAAAAAGCAAAACGCCTTTTTTTCTGGCTGGCGTGGCGTAGGATGAATTACGTGTATCCGTGCATTCGCAACACAGCGAAGCAAGGGCGCTGGCTGGGGTGTGACGCAGGGGCCGCATGCGTTTCTCGTTTCTCTTATCTCAAACGGTTTCTGGAGAATAAGGTTGGCTGGCCCGGCCCTTGTGAAAACACGAAGCGAGCAGTCGGAGAGGCACCGTGGACAATAATAGACACGGGGGAAACACCAGTGACACAACGGTGATCCTGGAGGCTAACGCGGTGAGGCGTCTGATGGATCGCCAGAGACTCAGCTCAAGTCAATATATTTGCGACTTTTAGCTCTGGATGCCACTGCGGAACAGCAAAAACAAGCTGAGCGTTTGCGTGAACTTTGGGTACAAGTCAAAACACGCCCGCAGCTGGTTCGTTTCACAAAGGGACGCAGCGGCAGGGGGTCCAAGGGGGCGTCTTGCGGGGGTTTTTCCTCCAAGTCTGGGGGGGCGGTGGCATCAAGCGAGCATGAAGGCGAACATGGCCCACGCCGTTGAGAACGTTGGTGTCAGGATGCAGGCGAGGTGAGGCCAAGCCAACGGCGTCACTGAGTGGATTAATGACTACTATCATGGAAGTGCATGCGCATGCAAAGTGCGGTGTTGAGGAGATGGGCAGACTGGGGGAGAGCAATCAAACAAAATTGGACTGAGTCTGCGAAAGCGTACGGGTACATATCTGTACGCGCACTAACAGGCGAATAGATTAAACTGGAAATGAAGCGAATCAAGGCATTGCAAACCGCATGTTGGGCGATGCAAATTAAGGGCCTTGCTGGTGTTTTGGTCGTCGCCCTGGACAAGGTCGAGCCAATGGGAGACTACCGTCGAAATTGATTCGGTCGGGGGATGCTTGGCACTTTGTTTGTGCTCATTAGAGACTTGTCCAGGCCGGGTTGCGGGATCCGTTTCGGGGCATATTTGGTTATCGGAAGCATCCAAAAGAAGACTTGTTTGGTGTTGAACAAGAAGAATACTATAAGGGAGTGCCAAGTCGTACGAGTGCTTGTACATACACGGAACTGACCGACTCGGTTGAGCGCCGTTGTACAATTACAGGTAGTACGCATTCCGCGTAGGTTACGTACCTGCAATTGAAGTTTTGGTTTCACCGCCTTGTGCTTGATTATCAACCCGCAAGGCAGATTATCATGTGAAGTTATCAACTACATACCTAACTCCTCCACGTTAGCAAGTTCAGCTCAACGCCACAGCGGAAACCACCGCTCAAGACAATGGACAGCCAAACAGCGCCTCTTCCGTGATGGCTGAGTGATTGGCTCTGGGCGCGTCTCAGGTGCTGATGCGGCTCCGGCTTGGTGCTGCGTACCTGCATCGGCCCCTGGCACTAGCAGGCCTTCAGCCAAATGCTAAGTGGCCGGCGAATGTTTAGCGCCGCCAGATTGGTGACATGTCTGCGACTCCATCAGGGGTGGCGGACATGGATAGAGACTAGACGGAAGAGTCAGCAATCAATTGACGCAGCTCGGAGTGCTGGCAGAGGCCCGGCAGGCAACAGAGGGGGCGTGGGGAGCGGCCGATGAAGGGGGCGTTTGCGTTTTGCTTGACCGGCGATGGTGTTTGCTCTCACGGACAAAAAGGCTCGATATCCATCCCGTCCTGACTCGTCTGTTCCCTTCTTCTCTTGTTCTTTTCTTCTCTTCAACGAAAATCCTGCTCTTGTCTGTCTTTGCTCCGGCTCGTCTGTTTGACAGCTACTTCCACTCCTTACAACGGAAAACAAGCTAGACTTTTTTCCATCCATCGGCTTGACGTCGACTTACACTCTCTGAAGATCCTTTTTTATATAAACGCGGAATCGACTTTCGCCCTCTCTCCGAGCTTTATCAAAAGAAACAAAACTCCCATCACACAAATCGTCAAGATGAAGTCCGCTGCCGTTGCTGCTTTTGGCCTCTTCGCCGGCCTGGCCTCTGCCACCTCCCCCATCCGCCACCTGCACTTCCCCAGGTCCAACACCACCACCGCTGCCGTTGACGATGCTGCTCCCACCACGCTGACTGTCATTGCTACCTCGGTTCACACCGTCATTAGCTGTGCTCCCACCGTCACCAACTGCCCGGCTCACCTCAACTCCACCGGTGCTGGCAGCCTGCCCGAGTCGGCCAGGACCACCGTGATTGTCACCGATACCATTGTCCTGGCCACCACCGTCTGCCCCGTGGCCGAGGCTTCCAGCATCTCGTCCTCTCTGCAGGCCGCTCACTCCTCCGGCCAAATCACCGGCTCGACCATCAAGGCCACTCCTCCTGCTGCCGTCACTCCCCCGCCCAACGCCGGCGTTTCTGTCACTGATGTTGTCACCGACAAGACCCTGACTTACACCATTGGCAAGGGAGCCGGTGCCTCTGTCGTCACCACCACCATTCAGGCCACTACCAAGAAGACCATCACCCTCACCAGCACTCTCGGCAACGGTGAGAACGGCCCTGAACCCACCACCACCACCACGGCCACCACTACTGACACGACCTACGTTACAGTCCAGCCGGTGCAGACCTCCGGTGGCAGCTCCGGTTCCAACACTGGTGGCAACGCTCCTCCTGCCAACGTCCCTCCTGCTAACGGCGAGGGTTCTTGCGCCAGCGCCACCGTTACCGTCACCGTCGCCAAGGAGACTGTCACTGTCCCCGCCTCGACCGTCTATGTCACCATTGCTCCCAGCTCTTGTGACTCTGGCTCTGCTCCCGCCGTCACTGACAAGTCCACCGACAACTCTGGCTCCGGCAGCTCTGGCTCCAACTCTGGTTCCAACTCTGGCTCTGGCAGCTCTGGATCCGGCTCTGAGGGCAGCGGCAACAACAACGGCTCTGGCGACTCTGCTGCCACTGCTACCACCAGCACTCCTTGCCCCACTGACATTACCACCACCGTCCGTGCTACTGTCACTGTCCAGCCTTACCCCATCAACAACGGCACTGTTCCCACCAGCGGCGCTGCTCAGGCTTCCGCTTCCGGCTTTGCTCGCCGTCTCCGCCGATAAAGGACTCGTCTCCTTAACAGGAACTACCCTTGTAAGAATATTGTGAAACCCAAAGGTGGAAAACAGGCAATGGGGGGCATGGGATACTGGTTTTTGGAAATCTCGTGGCCAAGAAGGACGCACATGATGAGAAAGAACAATCATAGTCCAAAAAAAAAGAACCAAAGAAACGAATATAGGTTTCTTTTCTACGCTGTTACATGATAGACGTCTATTTGTCGATGCAAAGCGACATAAAAATTTTTTTTTGGATCCACGTGGTTTTTTTTCTTCATGGGCTGTTTTTTCTTTTTGATTGGCGAGGCTTGGTTGGAAGACAAACTTGCCGTGTTGTACTGTACTTGACACTCTGTTTAACATTCATGTGTGTATATTTGATAATGCTCTTTGAGATGGCTGTCGGTGACGGCTTCTGGGCAACCGATTTCTCCGAATTGAACGACTCGTGATGTTACAAAATCGTCTTGCTTGTGTTGCTTGTAACATGATGTGACTGTGTCTTCCAAGTCAATTACAATGAGTTATGTGAATGTATTGACCACACCTGCCTAAAGACATAACACAACACCTTGCCTTTCATATACACACCATTCATTCGTCCAATCAAACCCATCGTAACGTAGCTAATATATAGGTATAATACACATAAGCGAGCCTCCTTGGTATCCGGAATACACTCCGCTTGACCAATTACCTTGTACGCCCATAAGAAACACAATTCTCTAGACAGATGGGGGAGTCCCTCACTCTTCCTTCTACCCAAGCACCACACGTTCATATTGCTCTTGGTTCAACTGCCGAAACAGCACATCTTGCAGAGCAGCACGACTACGCGCCAGCTGCGGTACGATTCCATCAGCTTGCTGGAGGTTGCTCCTGATGCTTTCCATGTGGTCACTAAGCTGAAGAGCCAGAGACTTGAGCTCTGGATCTTGAAGATCCTAAAAAAAAAAAGGCATCACTGTTAGTTATTTCATACAACCTTTTTTTGCTTCCACTTCAACTTCCATCTATTAGGGAAACAAAGAAGAACAAGATAAGAGGGAAAAGGATGTGTGACAACTTACACTAAAAAGGCCTCCGGAAAGAGAGACCCCGGAGGGGGTAAAAGATATTTCTTGCTCTTCCTTTTGCTTCCGTTGGGAATGGACCGTCTCGGGCGTTGGCGCCAGAACATGCGCCTTCTTCAACAAGCCGCGATACTCCCTCCCCTGAGCCTTGGCACTGGACTCCAAGTTACGCAGCGTTTCGTAATCCCTCTCCAGCTCCCTCTCCAGCTTCTCCTTCTCCCTCGTCAGCAACTCGACCGCGTGAAGCGCCGGGTCCAGCTGTCGCTCCAGCGCCATCTTCGCGTCGAGCACGCTTTCAAAGTCCAGCTCCGTGGCACGGCCGTCGGGCACGCCAGCGGCTCCCGGCGCGGCGCCCGCTTGTCTCCCACGAGGCACCCGGGCCGATGGCATGCTTGCTGGGGGGAAGGGGATGCCGCGTGCGATTTTGCGCGTGATGCGGTGAGAAACGAGGCGTAGCGCTGCGGAGGTGTGGTTTTGGCGCTGTTCGGAGCCGGAGAGACGCTGGAGGACGGGACGGTGGGCGAGGACGAGCATTGAGTTGGCGGCTGCGACGGTAGATTCGGGTAGGGGGCTCCATTTCGATTCGATGGTGGATTGGCGGACGCGGTTGATGTGAGGCGAGACGTGCGGGTATGGTTTTGAGGGTGAGGGAGCGACGTCGTTACCCTCGTCCTCGACATCGGCATCTTGGGGAGGTCGACGCTGTTTCTTCTTCGATGCTGGTCCGGGCTCAATAGCGGGAGCCCTTCTTGCGTTAGGAGCAGGTGAATCTTCTGTGGCTGCTCCAGTTGAGACTCTTGTACGCCCAGCGGGGCGGCCGCGGCGTCGGCCTGATGTCGTGTTTGACGGGCTGTCAGTGGTAGTCTTTGCTTTGGCGTTGTCGCTGGGTTTGCTCTGGATCTTGTTTGGAGCACTGATATCTCGTAATGATGGTCGGCCTCGCTTTCGTGGCTTCGCCTCTTGCTTCCCCTTTGTTGGGCCGCGTTTTGGCACCTCTTCCTCGTCTTCCCGTCGAGCCTGCAGAGAGGGCCGGCCTCTCTTCCGTTGCGCGGGCACTCGCTTCTGATTCGGGGTCTCGTTTTGCAGCTGATCCTCGTCCGAGTCTTGCGCAGCGCCATTGCTTTGCAAACTGGTCTGCGATTCGACATCCTCGCTATGCCGTGCCCGCCCACGCCTTGGTGCGTCTTCATCTTCAACTTCCCGACTCTTGATCGAAGGCCGTCCTCGCTTCCGCTTTTGCTGGGGCGGCGTCTCTTCATCCTCGTGAATTAGATTCCTCGGTTTGCCACCTAGCGACGGCCGCCCTCTCTTTTTCGCGGGCTTGGAACTCTCTGGTGAAGGGCTGGGCTCATCGTCTGGGGAGCTCAAGCTTTTCCTCGGCCTCCCGCGCTTCTTGGCGCGCACCTGATCGGGTGCATCGGTGTCGTACGCTTCAGTCACATAGTTGTGCTCTTGCGACGCGTCGATATCGAGCTTGGACGCGTTGGATGGCCGCCCGCGTTTGCGCTTCGGGACTGCAGACTGTGAAGCAATTAGATTTCCATGCAACGAAATGGTCCCGATTGAAGACACGGCAAAAGGGTCAAGTTACCATTATAATTGTAAACCAATGTTTGCGCAAGAGATACTGTCGGTCGAATCGAGATGGTGCGAGTCTGTTCAAACACCCAAGAAGAACAAAAAGCCATTTGATGCGTCAAACGAGCATGTGCATGACGCTCGCTTTCTGTGGTCGGAACATTGAAGCTTCCAATCATCGCCTCAGGCCTGCAACAGCCTCTAACTCGCCCAGTGACGCCTCCAGCGGCTTTTCCCAGCGGGGGCCCGTGCGCTGTGGGCTTCTAGATCGAAGCGGCTTCAGGCGGCTTGCAACCCCGCGTCTGGATTCGTTACAGCACGTGCATGCTCTGTAGCATTTCAACGGCATCAATTGGATCAAATGCCCTCCAATTGATCTTTGGGAGTTTATGAAATTAATATCCAGCACCCCCAGAGACAGCATGAGGCTCAAGTGTCGGAACAGGATGCAGAGGGGAGACTGTTGCTTACATGTACTTGATTGTCTCGTACCTAGTAGGTTCAATGGAAGGATCTCCTACTATCATCACTCTACTACATCTACCACTATAGCTAGGTAGATTCCTTCTATTTTGTTATGATATGAATTGTAATCGACACCTTTGATGTATCAACTCCGCATATCACCGCCTATTTAGGCATCCGACGATTCAATTGGTCACGCAATATCAAGACACCATTGAGCTTCATCTTGGTACTACTATTGCTGCAGTATCTCATCCATCTCCTCCCTCTCGTTCAAGGCCATCAAACTTCCTACTGTACTGCCTAGGCAGCATCCAAGCACATGCAAAATGAGGTGATGGAAATTGATCCTTTGCCGCGCCAATAATCCACCAGCGAGCGCTAAGGCAGAAAAAGAACCTGAGCTGGGAGCGCTTGGCCTCAACTTTGTTGAACTAAATACCCATAAATGCTCAACAAATCAAACCGAGCGGCCAGAGCACTTGATCCGGCGGCGTTTGCTCGACAGGGGCCACATTTTCTCCAAACTTTACTCTGGATTGAACATTCCCGCCGTCTCGGAGCTTTTTCTTTGCTTCCATCTTCTTCCATTCATTCTTCTTCCTCGTGGACGGGCGTACGCCGAGTACCTGTAGTGTAGATAACGATTTCTGTATCTTAGGGATCTTTCTGTTTTCTTATACTCCTTTCTTCTTTCTCTCTTCTCCCGGCTTGTGCTTGGACCTCGGGATTTGTATACATACACGGCCGGACTTAATTCTTCCCCACCACCACAACAACAAACATCGCCGTCACAATGCGCTTCTCCGCAGCTGCTTTCGTCGCGGCCTTGCCCGCCCTCTCCGCCGCGCAAGAGAATCCTCTGGACCAATACGTTGCTCAATTCCAGCAGGTCTTGGGTCAGGCCAGCTCTTACATCCCAACCCCCAACAAGTACGATGCCGCTGCCGCCGAAGCGTCCAAGACGGGCCCCATGAAGCTCTCCGTCTTGGCCCAGCACAACTGGGAGGACACTCTCTATGCGCCTGTGGCGGCCGGCGCAAAGACGCCAGAGGAGTGGTGGATCTTGATCACTGGCGGAAACAAGACGTGCTTTGGTGAGTTGTTTCATTCGCCCCGAGGTGCAAAACCTCCTCAATGGTATAATGTGTCCGACTAAACTCCTCTGGTTTAGGCCGCTGTGACCAGCTTGAAACCGCTTTCCACGGGGCTGCTGCCAAGTTTGCGGAGCTCCCAACCACTCCTCACATGGGCATCCTCAACTGCGACAACCAGCCCATCCTTTGCAATTCCTGGGGCGCCAACGTGGGCAACATCTGGGCCTTCCACATGCTCCCCAAGCCCGCCCCCGTCGACATCTACAAGAAGAGGCTTAACCTCACCACCGTCACTACGGACGAGATTGTGCAGCTGCAAGAGGCCGGCAACAAGGAGGACTTTGTCCTCCTCGAGTCCTTCTGGCACCCCTTCAACGGCAAGGCCGCCGAGCTTGGCTTGTCCATCCCTCTTGGCTATATTCTCTGGGTCTTCAACCTCCTTCCCCAGTGGGCGTTTATGCTCATTGTCTCCTTCGCCAGCCGAAGCATGATGTAAGTCTGAAATCAAATCCATTCTCCGCGTCCATCTATTCGGCTGCGCACGTAGCTAACGGTCATGACCAGGGGCAACCGAGCTCAGCAGCGGGCTCAACAACGTGCCCCGGCCGCCGCCGCCGCGCCCAAATAATCAACCATCTAGGGAAGATCTGTATGAGTTTGCCTTTGGGGGGGCTTTTGGATAATGACCCAACCTGGAGCATTTGGATGCAATGATGTACATGATTTTAAGATGGGGACAACCCCCCCGGCGGTTTGTTTTCTTTGAATAATACCAACCCGAGGGCTGTTGGTTTCGTAAGCTTTTTGGGTATCATGAGTTACGTAGCTGTTTATGAAAAAGGAAAAATTCGAATAGTCACGGTCATGACTTGTTCTCGCATGCTTCTTGCAGTGATTTTAAGCCATTGACAATCTCATCTCGGAGTTTGCCGTTGGCCAGTTTGCCGTAGCGAAGATCGCTCAGCCCACCAATCGTCTGCTGGATGGACTCTTGGAGAGCTGCCTCTTCTTCTTCAAGCCTCTTTATCTCTGCTTCAAGTGCGCCAACGGCACCTTCCAGCTCGGGAATCACAGAGTTGAGGCTATGCGTTGCGGTCTTCAAACCAGAGTCGTGACCAAACAGCTGCGCCCCCATCAGCATAAGCTTTTTTCTCTCTCGCCCCAACTCAAAAGATATGCATGAAGAAAAAGGCGAGTTCGACAACTTACCGCTCTCTCCATCTCAACCTCGCCATCTACATCTTCCCTTTCCGCCTCTCTCCTCAGTCGCAGAACCTCCCTTCTCATGACCACCCCGCGCTTCACCTCATCCTGGATGCTCGCAGCCACGGCGTCAACCACCGCATTGCGCTGCGCCTGCAAGTCGCGGTACAGAGACCGCAGTTGATGCGAATTGTGGAGCGGCCGGGGGAAGAGGAGCACGAATTGGTTGAAGGTGGTGATGGATGGAAGGGGTGCTGGCTGAAGGAGGTAGTTTGTGAGGATGTCGGATTCTGATGGTGGCGGCATTGCGGCTCTGTGGCTGCGGGTTTGAGATGGTCCCCGTGGAGAGACTTTTTCGTTTGACACGTTGAATCAGATGGAGTGGAATTGGGGTTTGGGTTTGGGTTTGGTGGCGGCGGTGAGTGTAAGTTCCATAGATCGATATTTGTTGTATTGAGGTGAAATGCTGGACGCGTTTATGTGAGTGAGTGAGGGTGCAATAAACATTGAGTTTTAGCAGTGGCAGCACCACCGTATGAGTGGGTCAGCGTATGAAACCCACACCAGCATCAGGCCCATCATACTCGTGCAGTATTCAACGGATACATCGCTTGCCTCAAGACTGCGACGTCACGGCAAATCCGTATAACGGACTTGTTTTCTTTACACTTTCCGTGCTGTTACAGCTAGGTAGCTATTATAGTCCAGATCCATCATCATACCTGACGCAATTCGTATCGCCCAGCATCCCCCCAGATAGTGACTCTGTAAGGTACGCAGATATCCACCCCGCCTACTTTATACGTCGCATCGTCCGTGAACATCTTGACAGCATTGGTGCTTCAAGTCAAGCCCGGGAGCTCGCATCGTCGAGGGAAGTGGTTGTCGGTGTCCAAAATTCGAGTGTTTTCCCTTGGCCATTCAACCTTGCGTTGGCAGCCTCCTTCATATATCTTGCAGTTGCCCTCTGTTCATCGGGGGAAAAGCTGCGATGCAGCTGATTTTGCGTTGAGGCTACCCCGGTGATTTGCTCCCATCCATTTTGATTCTCGTCCGACGCATCTTCGGTTGTTGTTTTTTTCTTTCTTCGCTGATCTCTGGTGGATAGAATATAGTCAAGTATACCACATATTGATGGAATGTTGGAGACTTCGACGGTCCTTTTCCGCTGGCACATTGCTATCAAACAATACGTGCCGCGAACGGGGGTATCTTGGCCATTTCATCACCGACAAGAGGATGACCCCTCAGGCTATCAATCCGCAGGGTTCAGCACTTCGAGATAATAAAAAAAAAGCTTGTTATCTTGTTGGGAGATACTATGCAAAGGATCGGTTCGCTCACGGTTGCGCCAAATGTCTAACCAGTTGTGCAACATCAGCATCAGCACTTTCATCCTGCGAGGTCAAGGATCAGCCATACCAGGATGCCCATGGCAGCAACCACCAGGTCAACAGAGCGATGCGTTCACAGCATGGCAACATTGCCGTTGGCGATGGCTCCGTCTCCGAGATGGCAGACCAGATCATTGGAACGCGCGAAAATCTGCAGAGAGCCGAAGCTGCGTTGGGACGCTCTGACGATGCCGTCTCAACCACACAAACTCGGTCGGGTTGCTTCATGGCGCTGCCAGGATTGCGATTGGGTTGTTCCGAGGCATCTAGACCGCCCAGACCATTCAAGATAGGCTGTCGAATCTGGATGCTGGGCCATGTCGTCTGGGGCCCCGATACTACCAGACGCTGCCGCCATACGGGGGTGTACTGCGGCTTATGTGCAGATAAGCACGATGAATCCTACATACTAAACCTACATGTATCACGATAATCACGACGGATAAGTGGTAGCGTCATGCGCATGCCTTTCCATGATGGCTTCTCCTCCCCGGGCAAAAGAAGTCGCCAGCAGCGATGGGGATTTATTTTACGCCTCTCTCGTGTGAAAAGATTGACTCGATGATTGTCCTATGGCCGCATTGCGAGATCGGATCAATGGAGCTCATCTTTTTTTTTTTCCTTCTCGACCCAACTAGGAAGACCCCTAAATCGTCCGTCGTTGAATCTACGCACCCAACTCCGTGGGGTGGATTTTTAGCTCCAAAATGCTACAGTACAGCACGAGGGGGTACTTTCTCTGGCATGTACCTGGCACGGAAGTACTGTTACGGCTGCCTGCAACCCCGTACTAAGAAAGCTCAATGCATTGTTTCACCCGCGATCTGCCCTGTTGTGGGAGCATGAGAAAAGTTTGCACGATCAAAGGTTAGGCGCAGATGAGAGAACACGGGGCATCTTCCTATTCGGACACTTGGTAGTGGTCGAATTGATGTTTTTTTTTTGAGGCGATGGGAATTTGATATTGGATCTCTGCTGAGATGTTATCTCATTGTGCATGATGCCCGACTGAATCTCGCAGTCTGACATACAGGTAGGTACTTGTTCCCGTGGTACTCATGTAGGTAAGTTTTCGGCGACCAAAGCCGCTTACTTGCAGCTTCCCCCATACAATGCCAAAAAAAAACATTGAAGGAATCTACCAAATAGAATTCATACTGTACTCCTGTAGGAAGAATTACTGAGGTGAATGAAGGTCTCTGTATCACATACTCTGCTGTAAAAAATAATTAATCAATGGAGGGGGTTGGTAGGAGGTAGGTAGATAGACAAGGGGACATGTGCTTGGGGTACTCGTACTCCGCAGAGCTCAACAATAACGCAGGAAAATTCTGCACTTGACTTCGCTAGCAATGCACCTCGACTGCAGCGGTGATCTCTAATATGTAATACGGGGGGGCAATGGCAAAAAAGTGCAGTGTAATCATTTTGCCATCCACCTCCCAATGACACAGACGTACATGTACATGCCGCGTAGATGCCCAAATGCTCTTCTTTTCCCCCACTCTTCTTCTGGTCTCGAATTCATTTCAACGGGTTGGTAGCGTCAAGATGAGAGTGAGTACGAGTACGAGTAGCGAGAGGAATGCCGTCTGATCCAATTTTGCATGTGCTCAACGATTATCACTCGCTGCTAACCCACCTGCAACCCACAGGGCCACTAAGCAGGTACTTGCCCCCAGTAGCAGCGCTCCATATCAACTACAGGTCCTGCGCTAAGCAGATCCATATTGATCCCAGGCCTTAGTAGATACGGCCAGCCAGCGGCAAGGATGGGCAGAGCCTGTCATTACGCACGGCTATGAATAAGATTCGGCCTCACAGCTTGAGAGCTCCGATGGCGCAAATCGCGCAATTCGCTGACGCCCAGCCCCGGCTAGGTCTAGTGACTCTAGCCCATAGCAGAGAGAGCCGTGTGGCCAGACAGCAAGCAGAGCAGAAATTGGTTGATCCGTGATTGAATGCTCCACCGAGGAAAAAAAGACCCGATCAAGCAGACCCGACCGCCTTCGTCTTACCCCTCCCCCGCTCGGCGCTTTTCCTCGATACACTTAATAGGTGCTGCTCTCGCTCTTCTCTCCATCCTCTTCCTCTCCATTCTCTTCACAGCGTGTCCTTTTCCTCTTCACTCATCTTCTTCCGCTGCTGATACAGGCAGGGCTATTTGGTTGATAACCAGTGAGTCTTGCGTCTGCTCTTCCGCTGTCCATCTCTACGTGGGCTTCAATTACGCCGAACGTCTCAATTGACTTGGTTTCTCTCTTCTGCAGCGACTTTTTTATCACAGCTTGTCCAGTCCGTATCCAAACCAATTGCCAAAATGGTTCAGTCCGCAGTTCTCGGTTTCCCCCGTATGGGTGTTAACCGTGACCTGAAGAAGGCCACCGAAGCTTGTTAGTCTTCCCTTGCTCAACCTCCTCAACCCCCCCAACGCCTGCAGAAAAATTTTCTCTAACATTGACATGTGCAGACTGGGGTGGAAAGATTTCTCAGACTGAGCTCCTCGCTGAGGCCAAGAGACTTCGTCTGGCTCACTGGAAGATCCAGAAGGATGCCGGCGTCGACATCATCCCCAGCAACGACTTTGCCCTGTACGACCAGGTTCTCTCTCACATCCAGGACTTTGGTGTATGTTACAACCCTCCCTCGTTTTCCACAACAATAAGCCCCGGACCAATGCTGACTGTGAATTGACAGGCTGTTCCTGAGCGTTACACCAAGGATGGCCTTGACACTGTTGACCAGTACTTCGCCATGGGCCGTGGCCACCAGAAGGGAGGCGTCGATGTCCCCAGTCTGGAGATGGTCAAGTGGTTCGACTCCAACTACCACTACGTCAAGCCTACCCTCCAGGATGGCCAGACCTTCAAGCTGACCGCCACCCCCAAGGCCGTTGCCGAGTTCAACGAGGCCAAGGAGGCTGGCGTCACTACCCGCCCCGTCCTGGTCGGCCCTGTGAGCTTCCTGCACCTCGGAAAGGCCGACCGTGGCCAGTCCGTCGACCCCATCGACCTGCTCGACAGCCTTCTGCCTGTCTACGAGCAGCTCCTCGTCCAGCTCAAGGAGGCTGGCGCTGAGACTGTCCAGATCGACGAGCCCGTCCTCGTCTTCGATCTCCCTGCCAAGACCAAGGCTGCTTTCAAGCCCGCCTATGAGAAGTTCGCCAGCCTCGGCGACAAGATCCCCAAGCTGGTCTTCACCACCTACTTCGGTGACATCGTCCACAACCTTGACCTCCTCCCCAAGGACATCTATGCCATCCACATTGACCTTGTCCGCAACCCCGAGCAGCTCGACGCCGTTCTCGGTGCTCTCGGCCCCAAGACCGTCCTGTCCGCCGGTGTTGTCGACGGACGAAACATCTGGAAGACCAACCTGAAGCGCGCCATCGAAACCGTTGAGACCGCCGTCCAGAAGCTCGGCAAGGACCGTGTCATTGTCGCTACCTCCTCCTCTCTCCTCCACACCCCCCACACCCTCGCCAGCGAGAAGAAGCTGGACGCTGAGATTGCCGATTGGTTCTCTTTCGCCTCCGAGAAGGTGGTCGAGGTTGCCGTCATCGCCAAGGCCGTGACTGAGGGCCCTGCCGCCGTCCGTGAGCAGCTCGAGGCCAACGCCAAGTCCATCCAGGCTCGTGCCACCTCTCCCCGCACCAACGACCCCAAGGTCAAGGACCGCCAGTCCAAGATTGTCCCTGCCGACTACAACCGAAAGTCCGAGTTCCCTGTCCGTATCGATGCTCAGCAGAAGAAGCTCAACCTCCCCCTGTTCCCCACCACCACCATTGGTTCCTTCCCCCAGACCAAGGAGATTCGTCTGTCACGAAACAAGTTGACCAAGGGCGAGATCACCGCCCAGGAGTACGACTCCTTCATTGAGCAGGAGATCCGGGACAACGTCAAGATCCAGGAGGAGCTTGGCATTGACGTCTTCGTTCACGGTGAACCTGAGCGTAACGACATGGTCCAGTACTTCGGTGAGCGCCTGGACGGCTATGCCTTCACCACCCACGCTTGGGTTCAGAGCTACGGCTCTCGATGCGTCCGACCCCCCATCATTGTCGGTGACATCTCCCGTCCCGCCCCCATGACCGTCAAGGAGTCCAAGTACGCCGTCTCCGTTTCCAGCAAGCCCATGAAAGGTATGCTGACTGGACCCGTCACTTGCTTGCGATGGTCTTTCCCTCGTGACGACGTCCACCAGTCCGTCCAGGCCGAGCAGCTTGCTCTGGCTCTCCGTGACGAGGTCGTCGACCTCGAGAAGGCCGGCGTCGACGTCATCCAGGTCGATGAGCCTGCTCTCCGCGAGGGTCTCCCTCTCCGCTCCGGCACTGAGCGTGATGCCTACCTCAAGTGGGCTGTCAACGCTTTCCGCCTGTCCACCACCGGCGTTGAGGACTCCACCCAGATCCACTCTCACTTCTGCTACTCTGAGTTCCAGGACTTCTTCCACGCCATCGCTGCCCTCGATGCCGATGTTCTGTCCATCGAGAACAGCAAGTCTGATGCCAAGCTGCTGAGCGTCTTCGTCGACTCTGCCTACCCCCGCCACATCGGACCTGGTGTCTACGACATCCACTCTCCCCGTGTTCCCAGCGAGCAGGAGATCAAGGACCGCATCGAGGAGATGCTTCAGTACCTCAAGCCTGAGCAGCTCTGGATCAACCCTGACTGCGGTCTCAAGACCCGTCAGTGGAAGGAGACCAAGGAGGCTCTCGCTAACATGATTGCCGCCACCAAGTACTTCCGTGCCAAGTACGCCAAATAAACAAATCACATTTTGTTTTTTAAGTTTCCTGCGATTGCAACGTAGGATGGCCTGGCTTTTGAACGGGAGCAACATTCAACCACGTTGCTCCTGTAGCTGGGCACGATTTCAACATCGGCGTTTGGGCATGATTTAGGTGACAAAGCCTTGGGTTATTACGGCACCCACCAAAAAAAGGTTCTTTTCATCATTTTGGGATTCGGAAAGGTCGGTTGGGTGAGCATTCAACATATGCATATGTGCGTTGATTCTCCTGGTTAGGAGAAAAAGCATTGGTAGTTTTCATTAGGATGGTTATCCAAAAGTCTTCAACAAGGCGTTTATGAGGAGAGATGAAATCAAAGGCAAATGAGTTTTATGAGGTTGGTAGTTAGCAATAGATACCCCGATTCAACCTGGGAAAATAAGGAGAAGAGATTCAAACCTGGTGAATATTATTTTACTGCAGCTGCCGGCCACTTATACATGTGACTTGTCTTGGTTTTTGTTTAAGATGGAGGAATAAGTGAGACGTAAAAAGGGGAACCAATAAAAGCAGCAGAATGGCACTGACTGCTCCAATTGGTGAAGCTGGTGTACTTGTAGGGAGGCTTCGCGTCGCGTGAATTTTTTATAAAACTCATCGGGGTATCTGTAAACATTGGCCTGCTTGCATTTTGCGCGCTTCTTGTGCTCCGTATTACGTGCAGGCCAACTGCTCCCAATTGGGGCTAATTGTAGTCGCAGGTACCTGTACTCCATTTTGGGGCTGATTTTTTCTCGTAGTCACAGCGTCTTAAGGCTGCCGGGGTGCTGCTGGGACCGCCTAACAGCACATTTTAGTGGCTACCGGCACAGCAGCCAGGGGCTCAATCGCCAAGGTACTCCTCCGTACTTTATTCACTTCCATCTCACTCACGTGTCTCCCTGTACGTACAATTCCTTTTCTTCATCTCGCCATTCCCAAACCCTATCATCGCCAATTGCAGATATCTCGCCGCTAGATATCACAGAAAGCCTTTTCCATCTCATCCCATCCGTCAGCGGCTATCCTTTGACTCACAAAACTAAAAGGGGGGCCCGTTCACGTTTTCATCATATTTTCATCATGGCTCCTGCGCGACAACAGCCGCCTCCGCCGTTTGGCAAGGACGAAAAAGTCCTCTGCTTCCACATGGACATGCTGTATGAGGCCAAGATCATGGACGTCCAACCTGCAGAGAAGCCCAATGAAGGATATCGGTACAAGGTGCACTACAAAGGCTGGAAAAACACGTGGGACGACTGGGTTCTGGTGGACCGGATCCGGCCCTTTGACGACGAGCACAAGGAGCTGGCAGCCCAGCTTCACGCGCAACTCAAGAACAGCATGCAGAAGACGTCCAAGGTGCCCAAGAAGATTGTCAAGAGCGGCGGCGAGTCGGCGCGTGGCAGCGAGGAGCGGGGGTCTGCCGTCACTCAGGGAGGCAGAGGAGGTAGGAGAGGCAAGGACTGGGAACTGGAGCAGGTAAGACTTGATTTGCCATCAGCACCCGATTATCCCCTGTTTTCATTATCCTTTTTGTTGTTCCATTGCGAATATCTCAAAGTTTCGTGGCGTTTTTTCTTTCTCGTCCTCTCTTTTGCTCATGGTATTTGTGTACTCCATGAGCCGCGTCTCCTGAGATACCTTCAACCACCACCCCGGCAAGTGCCGGGCCACGCAAGCTGCACGGAGGGGGTTTGGTGAGAGGCGAAATCCAAATCTATCGGCCATGTCTAGCTTTTTTGCTGGAAGTCTTTTTCCCTTTGGTGGCTTTATACTCGCGAAAACTATGAGCATGGAAACACGCAGACCAGCGCAGTTCAGATATCGTCGCTTTGGCAACCAGCCTCTTGTGGATGTTTACGTTCTTAAACTTTGCTTCTCCCGCGGTTTTGCACGTATTCGACGACTCAAGTGAGAAAACCTTGCATGTTTGTGGCGTTTCCGTCGACATATATCATCTCGCTCTCCCCTACGTTGTTGTCCCCTGATCTCTCTCCCACAACATCTTCTTCAATTCCAATTACCAGATCTCATTGAGAAACTCGTTGAGTAAAACAACACGCCTTCCGCCAGCAATAAGTCAGCCAAGATGCCAATGAAAGCAAACGAAACCCTCTTGCCGCGCTCCCGTTACGGGCGTATCATCAGGCCAACCCTGAAAAGACAAATTGCTTCATCACTGGCTGCCAAAGAGCCGTCTGAGCCAGTCCGAAAGCGCAACCGAGTCATAACAAACTCTCCTCGCAAGGCCGATGTTGAAGCAATTTCCAAGCGTGTGCCTGACCCGAAATTTGAACCTGAACCTCAACCTGTCGTTGGGCAATCAGGGCCAATTCGAAAACGCATCTGGATAAATCTCACGCGTAACGGCAAGCCTATCTGTCCTAGGAAGAGCGTTACAGAATCAACTCCCAAGGCTAAACCAGCATCTACGCCTGTCAAGACAAAGAAAATCACCAGATTTCGATTTTTGCATAGGTGGCATGTGATCAAAGTTGCCAAGACTGGAATTGACATCTCTTCCTGATCATCACGAATCTATTGATTGCCAAAGCCAAGCGGCTTCTATGGTGTATCTTACTTTACACTCTCTTTCATCTTTCTCTATCTCGACTACCTATGTGTTTGGCTTATTTCGGTCGCTTTTCATCTACCCCTACTTTCACATTGTACATGAAAAGATTTTTTTTTCCTATGAGATTTTTTTTTCTCCAGGTGTTGTCTAACAAGCTTCAGGAGGATGCTTTCCACAGCAAGCCAATGATCAACATTTCTGTGCCCGATCATATTCAGGCCATGCTTGTTGACGATTGGGAAAATATCACCAAAAACAACCAGCTTGTACCATTGCCTCATCCAAACCCAGTTACCAAGATTTTTGAGGACTATCTTGCCGTTGAGCGGCCGCGCAGAGAAGAGGGCTCATCTAGCATGGACATCTTGGAGGAAGTTATCGCCGGATTTCGAGAATATTTCGAAAAGGCTCTAAGCAGAATACTTCTCTACAGGTACGTGGATCGACTGCTCGTTTCGGCGGGATGTCTACTAACATTGATCCAAGATTTGAGCGTCATCAGTACATGGATGTGCGGAAACTGTGGGATAATGCCGACGAGAATTCTCAGTACAAGAATGTTTGCGATGTTTACGGCGCAGAGCATCTCGCGCGTCTTATTGGTACGTAGACGCCGCGACTGACGCACTTTTTATCGCGCACTTGGCTAACCTCTACCTTGTAGTTTCATTGCCCGAGCTCCTTGCGCAGACGAATATGGATCAACAGTCCGTATCACGCCTTAGAGAGGAAATCGGCAAGTTCACCACTTGGCTGGGCCGCAACTGTCAATCATATTTTGTCAACGAGTACGAGACTCCATCTCAAGAGTACATTGACAAAGCTCGAAGCTTCTAAGTGTCCTTATCTCGTTAGCAGCCACAAAAGGAGAATCGAACTGCCCACTTTCGTCTGTCGCCAGAGTCTTGTTTACCTTCTCTCGGCTACTTTTTTTTTTGCCCGCTCCCCTCTTGTTTATTGTTTGTTTTTAATATCTAGTTGGAATCACGACAACACACTTGCGCTGCCAATGGCAAAGTCGGCGGCAGCAACTTGTTGGCTTGATGGTGGTTTTTACTTGCCCCTTGACACCGCATTTTCTGTGGGATTCTCGTCTTATTGAGGGATTCGTTTGGTCACACGGCACTGGATAGGATTAGCAAGGTGTTAATGCGACGAACCCGGTGCTTTCTTTTGGTTTTTAGATGAGGCTGTTTTTAGGTAGAGTCGAGGGGAGACGGGGAGTTAGTTTAGTTTCAAGATAATGCGGAATGCTTTTCTTTTGTCTTTGCCTTTTTTTTTAAAAATCGCCTCGGTGATTCCACATGACTTGTTTGTGCCCATCCCGCTTTGTAACTGGGCATGTTCGTCTTTTTGCTTCTCTTCGTACATTGTTGCTGTTGATATCGTACAAGTTCATCTTGTCCATCCCGCTATAGTTCCTCCTCAACCGTACACACATATATACATAAACATCTCCAAACCCCCTTGCGTTGGAAGTATTTCCCCCCTTCCTTTGCAATCATCATCCCCCCTCTACATCGCGAGCCATTCTCTTCTCACATCCGCTGCACCGGCCTCTCGACGTAAAACCCCTTCTCCGGCGTCCTCTCCGCCTTGACCTCCCGCTTGGTCAATCTCCGCTCCACCTCCTGCACGCGCACCAGCTCCTTGACCTTCATAATCATACCCGCGAACTGCGGCTCCGCCGGGTGGAAGACGGTCTGCATGCGCCGCCGCAGGCCGAGCGCCTGGAGCACGCCGCGCGTGCGCTCGGGAAGCCCGATGGCTGACCGGTGGAGGGTGATGCGGAAAAAGGACATTTTTTTTTGAATTGGAATTGGAATTGGAATTGCTCTGTCGTTGTCTCGGCTAGCGCATTCGTTAGTTAAAACCCAGTGAAGTTGAAGAGATGGAGAGAGAAAAAGATGCGAATCCATTCGTACAATTTGATTCTTCTACGAGGTAAAAAAGCGATTCGACCCCGCTAGCTCCAGAACAAAAATTGGATTTCCGCACACTACAAGTGCTCCCCGTTCTTATCGTCTCGAATCTTCGGGGTACAGGATTAGCGATTGTGAAGAAAGGGCTGGGTTTTGGGGGAATTGAAGCTGCTTCAATTGCGTTGAGCCTGGAGCTAAAGTGCCTGTAGTTGCGCGATAAGATAAGTATCATGCAACTTGGATTAGTATCGAGGTAGCCTTGCGGATCACGTGATGGGATGCAACAAGACAGAGACGGGAATGAAATACATCAAGTCCTGCTTCTTTCAAATGAGTTGCTGAGAAAGAATTAATTGATTATATATAAAATAATTGGTTTATAATTACAGCAAAGGAGTCATAGGAAAAGACATGGCTGTGAATTAATTTTTTGGTCTCTATTGTCATCAATAAAAAAAAATGATTTAATACTTCATAACGTTCCCTCCGCAGCGACTACGGGCTATGTGTGCTGCTAACTTTAGGTCTTGACAAACCACTTTCCCATCCCAGATTGCCTTCATCAAATTCCCACAACTATTGTATAATATATTCTGATTGCTCCTTTTGTTTCCTCTCAGCTTCCGCTTACATCTGGACCTCGACTCTGCCCTGGCCGCTGGGTTGGCCCTCGTTGAGGTTGGGCAGCAGGTAGGTGATGTCATCCCAAGGATGGCGGTACAGACCGGTGCGCAGTCTCTTCTGGTCGAGGAAGTGGGCAATGAGACCAATGCTTCGGCCCAGGACGAACAGACCGTTGAGAACACCCATGGAAAGGTAGTCCTCGGCCTCTTCGGCGGAGAAGGCGCCGCAGTTGCGCATCAGGTCGACGAAGCACACGGCAATGCAGCCGTCAACGTTGAGGATCAGGCTGTCCTTCTTGGAGGTTGTGACGGTCTCGACGGCCAGGGCGTAGTCGAGCAGCTTGTGGCTGGGGAACTTGGCCTTGACGTACTCCTTGACGAGCTCAACACGCAAGTCGGGGTTGTTTCGCGACTTGATACGGTGACCAATACCGGGGATGAGCTTGTTCTGCTTGCGCATGCTGTCGACGAAGTCACGGGGGCTGAGGTTCTTGTCGAAAGCCTTGGTGAACTCCTCGGCGGCGCCGTCAAGGGCACCACCGAAGCGGGAACCAATGGTCAGCAGACCAGAGACAAGGGCGCTGATCAGGTCCTTGCCGGCACGGGTGGTGATGATGGTGTTCATGGCACCAGACACAGCGGGACCGTGGTCGGCAGTAAGCATGAGAACCATCTCCAGAAACTTGGAGGCGTAGTCGGGCAGTCTGCGGCGGAACCACAGCAGAGACATGACACCGCCGACACCGATTTCCTCCTTGAAAACATCGGAAATGGGCATGCCGGCGTAGAGCAGCTCCTGGCCACGGTCGTCAGAAATGGTGGAGATGAAGGCAGCGGGCTTTCGGATGAGGCCGAGCTCCTGGGCCCAAGAGTAGTCGATGGGGATCTTGGGGACGACGGGCTCGGCGCGGGGGACAATGGTGCCCTCCTTGACGAGCTTGTCGTAGACCTCCTTGAGAACGGCAGGCATGTCCTCGAAAGTGTTGGGGACGTGGAAGCCGGCCTCGCGCATAGACTGATTCTTGACGGTAGCAGTCTCGAGCTGTGAGTTGGCAAAAGAACCAGCGTGGCCGAACTGAACCTCGGTCTTGAACATGCTGGCGCAGGTACCAATGGCCCAGGCGACGATGGGCTTGGTGATGATGCCCTGCTTGACGGCATCAATCACCTTGTACTCCTCGACACCACCGACCTCACCAAGCAGGACCAAGATCTTGCAGTCTGGGTCGGCCTGGTATCGCAGCAAGTGGTCGATGAAAGTGGTGCCGGGATATCTGTCACCACCAATGGCGACACCCTCGTAGACGCCGTCGGTGTTTTGGGAGATGATGTTGTTGAGCTCGTTGGACATGCCGCCGGACTTGGAGACGTAGCCAACGGAACCCTTGCGGTACAGCTTGGAGGCAACAATGTTGTCCATCATACCACCAGTGTTACCAATCTTGAAGCTGCCGGGCTTGATGCCACCGACAGTGGCGGGGCCAATGATGGTGACGCCCTTCTTCTTGGCGACGTGAGCAATCTCACGAGCTCGCTAAATGACAGATGGTTAGCAAATTGGGCTCCATTGGGGGGCAGCTATTTCCGCTGCTCATCTTGGAAGAGCAGAAGAAACCAAGGAATGGCGAAACAAAAACAAAACTTACTCGCTCGGGAACACCCTCTGCAATGATGGCAATGGTCTTGATCTGAGGGCACTCCATCAATTCCATGGTGGAGCTGTAGACACTTCGGGAAGAGGCAAAGTTGACCACGACGTCGACGTCGGGGTGCTTGGCAATGGCCTTTTCAACCTGCTGGTAGACGGGCAGCAGGGTCTCGCTGGTGCCCCAGTACATCTTGCTGACAAACTGGCCACCAAAGGTGTAGATGATGCCGGCGACAGAGGGCGTCTTTCGCTTGCAAATGAAGTCAAAGTCCAGCATGCCCTGGACGGCGCGGGGCTGCAGGCCGTAGACGAAGCATCGCGTCTTCTCGGAGAAGAGAGCGTGCGCGGGGAGAGGGCTGAGGGGTCGGCTGGGAGCAGCAAAGCGCTGGATTCTGTCGTTGGCCGACAGGAGATCCTTGGAGCCGGACATGGTGATGATGTGTATGCGAGCTCGTCAAAACAAGAGGTGAGGAGAAAAGAGCAGAGGAAATGGCGGGGTGAGCTGAAGTCCTGCAGAAAAAAAAACACCGGTCAACAGCTGTGAATTAATAGAGGCTATACTGTGTTGGCCCACCAAGGCAAAGACCACAACACAAGTTGGAGGTGAGACAGATGGGATGCAGGAGCAAAGTGAAGAGAGAGAGAGAGCCGGGCAATTGAAGGATTGAGGCGGCAACGAGCAACTTCAATGGGGGAGAGCCAGATTTCAGGAGTGCAGTGACACCTGGGACCGCGAGAGGGCTGCTCTGCTTTAGCTGCTGGCGGGGCTGGAGCTCAGAGGGATGGCCTGCCAGGTATTGCGCCGTATCCGTACATGTACCAGGCACATGGACCCTAAATTGCCCGCCCACCATTTCCCTCTAGCACCAGCGCCCACCACGGCACACCAGCAAGTACCCGGTACGAACGCTAGCCCGGTGGGTACCTGAGCGCCGAGTTGGTGGGGGAGGGCGGACTCGGCCAGCGAAGCTTGCACCGCCTAACGGAACCCAAAGGCGTCGATCGGGGCAAGCATGTGCGCGTGCATGCAGCCCTGTGCGAAAGTGTGGGCAGGGGAAGGGGGATTGCTTGCTTACCTTGCCTGTGCCGTAGCTCAATGATGATGACAGTGCTGACGCAGGATGAGGATGAGGGACATGCGATCAGATGCAAGAAATGGCGGCTCCTTTGTACTGTACGATTACCCCAGCAGCCTAATGCAGTACTTGTACTCGCACGTGTATGTCGTCCAGTCTTTCCGCCAGCGGGTAAGAGTGTTTCCGGCGTTTGGCTTTCCAAGATCAAGGGGGAACACCAAAGTCAATCCGCACGGCAACCAAGCCACCAAACGAGTTGGGGAAACTGTTTTTGGGGGGTTTTTTGGGGCGCAATGTCTAATTTTGCGAATTGTTGAATAGCAGCCTCTTGAGACACAATGATAGTCGTAGCATCCCGGTCGCGGTCTGGCCTTGCCGCTAACACCGGCTTGGGCCCCGGTGGTACCGGTACCTCATTCCAGTCTGCCCATCCAATGCGGTGTCGGATGTTCCATCAAAAACTTCAAAACCGTTGGCGGCCGAGGAATTGAAAAGCCCCTTGCTTGCATCGACGGGCTCCCAAGATTACGCCCCTTGGCTGCTTCGCATTCGCGGGTGTCATGCGTCA